CCTCTCCGCACAGAGGACTGGATGTCCTTAGGGCTGCATGAGGATGGGGCGGCGGGCCCACCTTGGTAATTATCGAGGCTCCTTCCAGCCCTGGAGGGAGAGTGGATTGGGGGTGCCAGAAAATGAGGTGGAGCCGTGAGTGTTGTTGCTGCTGGAGGTGGGTTTGGGTGTTTGGGACCAGGGCAGTCATCGTGGGAGTGGAGTGATTCCGATGCTGCTGCAGGTGGAGTGGATGGTGCCACGGTTGGACCAGGTGTGGGGGGAGATGAGAGAGGAGTGTAGGGTGTGGCCTTGACTTTCAGTGGAAGAATGTGGTGAATGCTGAGGCACGGAGATGCCAGCTGGGGCAGGAGCTGGGAGCAGCCGCTTAGACGCTAAGGGAAGACTCTTCAAGTTGAGATAGATCGGGAGTCAGTCGCATGGAGACAAGACCACAGGGAACAAGACCCCCTGGGCGTGCTTAGGGGAGGAGGCAGTGAGGACACAGCCTGGCCTGGAACAGGTGGAGTCAGGCGGAAGGTGAAGGAGCCTGGACGGAGAGGGTGGCGGCTGGGACGCCAGAGCCAAAAGGGCTGCAGGAAGGAGCCGGCAGTTGTCCGTGCCAAGGGCTGCCGAGAGGCTGAGAAAGACAAAAGTGGGCGCTGCCGGGTAGAGGTCACCGGTGACCTTGCTGAGAGTGGCTCAGAGGGCCCAAGGGGGGACGCTGGACTGGGCAGGGCTGAGGATGGAAGAGGAGGTGAGGGGGGATGGAAACCGCTGGCGATCCTTCCAAGAAAACCTGCCGCAATGAGGCAGAGGCCGGAGGGTATGCAGGTCAAGTTTGTTTGTTTCATGGAAGGTTCTGGAACTATGAGTTCCAATATAGTAACCACAACCCCGTTTCTGGCGCTCCAGAGCCACATGGGACCCATGGCCACCCTGTTGGATGGTGCAAGTACAGAACCTCTGTGCCATCCAAGAAAGCTATGTGGACTTTCTTGGTGTTACAGAGGGCTGGAGGTATCAGAGAGACCTGGGGTGGGGGTGCCATTCCAGGGGGGCCATGGCCTCTGTGTCTCCCTGAGGCAAGAGGCCAGGCCCCATGAGCAGGTGCAGACAGGCTGAGCAGAAGGGGAGCGCCTTTCAGGCCGAGGAGGGGAGGCACATCCACACAAGGCCCTTGGTCTGAGGCTGCAGGTGTGCTGCGGAGGGCAGGGCTGGAGCCAGGTGTGCACAGGAGAGCGATGCCCGTGTAGGGTCTCTGCACCCGCTTTCCCTTGTGGCCAACACTCCTTTCTAGAAACGTTGTTTAATGAGGGGATCACTGGACGCGAGGTGCAGGGCAGGTGTGAATGTGGATCAGTGAGGGCATGGGCTTGGGGGGCATTGAGAATGACAGTGAGCGAGCCCAGCTGGAAAGGGCCTTGGGAAGGCATGTGCTTTACGCAGAAGCTTCCTAGGTGGTTCCCTGTTTCCTGTGTCAGGGCCACAGCCTCTGCCCCTCGGGGCTCCCTGACCCAGGGCTGCCTCTCAACCCCTCCTAGTGCAGACAAGTTCAGCCTGTCCCCCCAGCCCCCAACAGGAGGCTGCACAGGGCTGACTCACAGTGTGACCTTGGACAAGTCCTTCTCTCTCTGGGTCTCAGTTTCCCTGCCATAAAGCGAGTTGCAGAATGAAAACTTTGGGGTCCCTCAGCCGGGTGTGGTGGCTCACACCTGTCATCCCAGCACTGTGGAAGGCTGAGACATCTGAGGTCAGGAGTTCAAAACCAGCCTGACCAATATGGTGAAACACCATCTCTACTAAAAGTACAAAAATTAGCTGGGCGTGATGGCAGGCACCTGTAATCCCAGCTACTCGGGAGGCTGAGACAGGAGAATCACTTGAACCGAGGAGACGGAGGTTGCAGTAAGCTAAGATTGCGCCACTGCACTCCAGCCTGGGTGACAGAGCAAGACATGTTTCAAAAAACAACGGAAAAAGAAAATTTGGGGGACCCTCCAAAGCTGGAGCCACAGAGGAGGCAAAATCCATGCCTCCTAACAGGCAGCGGGCCCACCCTTTCTTGCTGGCAGGGTGCTGGCCACACCGGGGAGTCCTGCTCGCACGTCCCCAAAGATCTCCCTGCCCAGGAGACTTGGCAGCAAGGTCAGGCTGGGAGGGGGAGCAGGGGGAGGACTCCCCAAGCCTCTGCAGGACCCAGGCTCCCCCAGGTTGGACACTGGGCCGGGGACAGCCTGCCTCCCTCATCACACAGGCTGCCCAGCCCAGTGGAGCAGGGCTCAGAGCCAGGTGGAGAGGTGAGGCTGTGCTCCCAGCACCCCTCCCAAGGAGCCTGAAGCATAGATTCCTGGACTCACAATGGGGGGACTGGGACATGGTGGCAAAGAAAGGGCTGGCAGGGGAGGAACCAGGTGAGTGAGGAAGGGGGAGAAGGTCCGGCGCCCAGCCAAGCCCTGGCAGTGTTGGCCACCAGTGCCCACTTACAGCGTGTTTCCTGTGTACATGCAGCATGCCAGACATGCAGACCCCCATGCATGTGTGAACATGGGGAGGAAATCGGGGGGGCTCGGGGCTGCACCCGTGCCACCCACACCTGCCTCCACCCAGCCCCAGATGTACGAGGGCCCCAGGGCTGGCTGCCCAGACAGGGTGTCCTCAGTGACAGCTGCTCTGCCAAGTGCCCCAATGAGCATGGTCTGTGCACTCATGTACACAAATACCTGACTTGTGCACGCACACATGCAGATGGCCTGGCACACACACACGAGGGCTCACGGGTACCAAACACGTGTGTAGATGGACATGGCATACATGCGTCCACAACACACATGCACACAAGCACACACACACATGAACCCCATGTGCACGCAGCCCTCCAGCCCTCAGCTACTGGGCCCAGGAGAGCCTGGGCAGCCCGGGCTCCGAGCCTCCTCTCTGTGCCTGCGATAAGGGCTTTTAGGCCCCATAATCCTCCTTACCTTGACTTTGGGTTATTTTGAGCAAGAGATTAAAGGTGATTACGACTGGGGCTGAGGCACCACACCTCCTACACGCTTCCTGTGTGGCAGCTGGTCAGGCCCGCCCTTCCGGAGGCTGGGCACAGCCGGACGCCATCAGCCCCACACCGTCAGCCCCATGCCCTCGGCCCTCCCCCGACCAGCACGCACCTCTGCCTGATACCTGGGCCCCCAAGAGGCCTGGGAGAGCTAAATCCCAGCATTGGCACAGGTTGGGCACAGTGGAAGGATGGTGGGGAGGTGTGGAGGGGCTGGCATGGGCGCGGGCAGGCAGGTGCACACCGCACACTGCGTGACGGTGACCAAGACAGTGCTGACTCCCATGATGGTGGATTTCACATCCAATCAGACCACATGGGGACCCCATTTTCCCCAGCCAAGCTGCCCCCAGAGCCATTTCTGAGTGGGCCTAGTCAGATCCTGCCCAGCTGGGCTGGGCTGGGCGTCCCCTGGCCTCTCCAGGCCAAGCCCTGGGTTAGCTCCCTGGGGCCTACTAGGACCTCGCTGCAGGCCCCATGCCATCTGACTCTCCCTCTCTTTAAATCAGAAATAGACTCTTCTCCAGGAGCCGGAACAAAATTGTGCTTTATGAAGTTTCCAAAGAGAGGAAAAAACCCATTTCACATCATTATATTTTTTTTCTCTAATTTAAACCGCTTCAGTGCAGACTAGTTGCAAACGTCAATATCAGTGAAATACACCCAGCTGGCTGCCTGCCAGGCCACGGCATGGTGACAGAGGCCGGCTGTAAATCCACATATTAACAAGCAAACACACACCCATTTCTCTATCCTTCAGGGCAAACACAGGCTTGCACATCAGGGGCTCCCCTGCCTCGAGGATGGTGGGGAGGGTGTCTGCTGGGTAGCAGGAGCCCAGCACCTCCAGCCCTGTCTGCAGGGTCCTTCCTGCCTGGAGCTCCCTCCCCTATGACTTGATTGCCACATCGTCTGTGTGCAGACTCAGGAGACACTAGGGAGACGGATGAGGCACCATCCTGCCTGGAGAAAATCAGGGTCTCGTGGAAGCAGAGGGATAAAGCAAAAGACTCCATACGGTGGTGGGGAGGATGGTGGGAGGGGCATCCAGCTCCCCAAGGGACCTCGGAGCAGTCCCTCTCCCAGCCTGGGGAGGATGTGCGGAGCCCGGGAATGCTCAGCAGAGCAACCGGCTCTCTTCCTTCCAGAAGGGAGGCAGCCACGCTCCACCAAGGTGAGATTCGGACAGTGCCAAGTCCAGTGCCAGGTAGACACCCTCACAGACCATCCAGCCAGCTCATTTGGGGAAACTGAGGCCCAGAAGGGGTACGGCATGCCGGGGACGCAGGGCAAGCAGGCTCAGACTGAGACCTGGCAGGTGCAAGTCCCCAGACAGGCCAGAATATCTCCCATTGTCTACCCCCTGGAGGGCTGGAGAGGAGCCCGCACCCTGGAAGGATTCTGGGGACTCCAGGCGGGTGTGCAGGGCAACTCCTGCAGGCAACTCCTTGGGCATTGTGGCTGGGCCTCCCAGGAGCAGAAGAGCCAGGCGACAGGGACAGTGACCAGCAGGGACCTGTCCTTGGCCGCAGCCGGCCAGCCAGCAGGAGAAGCCCTGTCACTCCTCAGCCAAGTGACTTTAGGTTCCAGTCCCCTGCCTCAGTTTCCTCATCCAACCAGGGTTGCGCCGAGAGTGAAATGGGCTGCAGGGTTCTCAATTCCTGGGCTATCAGTACCTTGGAGCCCAGCCGAGCAGGTAGTGCCTCATCCAGTTTGCAGATGAGGAAGCTGAGGCCGGGGAACCAAGGGGACCCCTCCACCGGAGGTTGGAGCATTTCCTCCATTATCCTGGCCCATCTCAGGAACTCCTAGGGGCTTCTGGGGAAGGGGCTTCTGTCCTCTTCTATGTTTTACAGAAGAGGCTCAGGGGGCTCAGCGGAGCAGGGACTCAGGCCGAGTTCAGAAGTCGCCGCTGTGAGATGCCAGATGTCCCCTGACCACTGCCTTCTCTTTTGTCTTGCAGCGGGAACGTCAGAGCAGGAGGAGCAAGTGGAGCCATCAGGATACCCAGGCCCATGGGGCAGGAGGCCCTGGTCACTGCAGGATTGGGGCAGAAGACAAGAGGTGGCCAGCGGTGAGGGAGGCACCCTCCCTCCCCGCGCTCGCGCCTCGCGGCCATGCGGTTTGGGACAGGACACCCCTGAGAGTGCAGGCACCTCCCTCTCCTACCCCTCTATCCCTTCAGGGGCCACCTCCTGGCCCCCCACCCGGTCCCCCTGGGCAGGCTGAGTGGGGGCTCCCTGCAGGGCGGTCCCGATGGCCGGGCTCAGGTGGGGCGTGCTGTGGGTGTGTGTGGCAGCCGCCACCCTGCTCAACGCAGGCGGCTTGGCCCGCGGGGACTGCTGGCTGATCGAGGGCGACAAGGGCTTCGTGTGGCTGGCCATCTGCAGCCAGAACCAGCCGCCCTACGAGGCCATCCCGCAGCAGATCAACAACACCATCGTGGACCTGCGGCTCAACGAGAATCGCATCCGCAGCGTGCAGTACGCCTCGCTCAGCCGCTTCGGCAACCTCACGTACCTCAACCTCACCAAGAACGAGATCGGCTACATCGAGGACGGCGCCTTCTCGGGCCAGTTCAACCTGCAGGTGCTGCAGCTGGGCTACAACCGGCTCCGCAACCTCACGGAGGGCATGCTGCGCGGCCTGAGCAAGCTGGAGTACCTGTACCTGCAGGCCAACCTCATCGAGGTGGTCATGGCCAGCAGCTTCTGGGAGTGCCCCAACATCGTCAACATCGACCTGTCCATGAACCGCATCCAGCAGCTCAACAGCGGCACCTTCGCCGGCCTGGCCAAGCTGTCGGTGTGTGAGCTCTACAGCAACCCCTTCTACTGCTCCTGCGAGCTGCTGGGCTTCCTGCGCTGGCTGGCCGCCTTCACCAACGCCACGCAGGCCTACGACCGGATGCAGTGTGAATCGCCACCCGTCTACTCCGGCTACTACCTCCTGGGCCAGGGCCGCCGCGGCCACCGTAGCATCCTCAGCAAACTGCAGTCAGTCTGCACCGAGGACTCGTACGCGGCCGAGGTGGTCGGGCCCCCCCGCCCGGCGCCGGGGCGCTCACAGCCGGGCCGCTCCCCGCCTCCCCCGCCTCCCCAGGAGCCCAGTGACGCGCCCTGCAGCGACGACGAGTGCTTCTCCGGGGACGGCACCACGCCACTGGTGGCCCTGCCCACGCTGGCCACGCAGGCTGAGGCCCGTCCCCTCATCAAGGTCAAGCAACTCACGCAGAACTCGGCCACCATCACCGTCCAGCTGCCCAGCCCTTTCCACCGGATGTACACCCTGGAGCATTTCAACAACAGCAAGTCCTCCACCGTGTCCAGGCTGACCAAGGCCCAGGAGGAGATTCGCCTTACCAACCTGTTCACGCTCACCAACTATACCTACTGCGTGGTGTCCACCAGCGCCGGGCTGCGTCACAACCACACCTGCCTCACCATCTGCCTGCCCCGGCTGCCCAGTCCACCCGGTCCGGTGCCCAGCCCCTCCACGGCCACCCACTACATCATGACCATCCTGGGCTGCCTCTTCGGCATGGTGCTGGTGCTGGGCGCCGTCTACTACTGTCTGCGCAGGCGGCGGCGCCAGGAGGAGAAGCACAAGAAGGCCGCCTCGGCGGCTGCGGCCGGGAGCCTGAAGAAGACCATCATTGAGCTCAAGTACGGGCCGGAGCTGGAGGCGCCCGGCCTGGCCCCGCTGTCCCAGGGCCCGCTGCTGGGCCCCGAGGCCGTGACGCGCATTCCCTACCTGCCGGCGGCTGGCGAGGTGGAGCCGTACAAGCTGGTGGAGAGTGCGGACACGCCCAAGGCCAGCAAGGGCAGCTACATGGAGGTGCGCACTGGGGACCCTCCGGACCGCAGGGACGGCGAGCTGGGCCGGCCGGGCCCCGACAGCCAGAGCTCGGTGGCCGAGATCTCCACCATCGCCAAGGAGGTGGACAAGGTCAACCAGATCATCAACAACTGCATCGATGCGCTCAAGTCCGAGGCCACCTCGTTCCAGGGCGTCAAGGCAGGGCCGGCTTCCGCCGCGGAGCCGCCACCGCTGGTGCTGCTGTCCGAGCCGCTGGCCGCCAAGCACGGCTTCCTGGCGCCCGCCTACAAGGACGCCTTCGGCCACAGCCTGCAGCGGCACCACAGCCTAGGAGGCGGCCGGGCCCCCGCGCGCCGGCACCTTGTCGTCGGGCGGCTCCGCACGCAGTCCCCGCGCCTTCCGCGCCGAGGCCGTCGGGGTGCACAAGGGCGCGGCCGCCGAGGCCAAGTACATCGAGAAGAGCTCCCCCGCCGCGGCCGACGCCATCCTCACCGTGACGCCCGCGGCCGCCGCGCTCCGGGCCGAGGCCGAGAAGGGCCGCCAGTACGGCGAGCACCGGCACTCATACCCCGGCCCTCACCCGGCGGAGCCGCCCGCGCCCCCGGGGCCACCGCCGCCAGCCCACGAGGGTCTAGGGCGCAAGGCGTCCATCCTGGAGCCCCTGACCCGGTCACGGCCCCGCGACCTGGCCTACTCGCCGCTGTCCCCGCAGTACCACAGCCTGAGCTACTCCTCCAGCCCCGAGTACACCTGCCGCGCCTCCCAGAGCATCTGGGAGCGCTTCAGACTGAGCCGCCGGCGGCACAAGGAGGAAGAGGAGTTCATGGCGGCCGGCCACGCGCTGCGCAAGAAGGTTCAGTTCGCCAAAGATGAGGATCTGCACGACATCCTGGACTACTGGAAGGGCGTGTCGGCCCAGCACAAGTCCTGAGCCTCCCAACCCCTCTCCCCCAGACCCGCGACGCCCACTGGACCAAAAAGGATGCAGGATCCACCCAGAGACTCAGCACCAAACTCAACACACGCACAACACGACAGCAACTGTGAACGCCGGGGGTGGGGGGCCCTGCAGAGGCGAGGTGGGGGCGTGGGCAGGGACAGACCCGGGGGACACGTCCCCAGCTCATGTGGCCGCCCCGGGCAGCACATGTCCACACACACACACACACACACACACACACACACACACACACAAGGGACTTCGGAAAACTGTGTCTTAGGGATGGGGGTGGGGGTGGGGATTTTTTTTCATTATCTTTCCTCTTTTGAGTCTTCTCTGCCTTTTCCTCTCTTTCTTTTCTTCCTTTTTTAAAAAAAATATATATAATAAAAGACAAGTTCTTTTAAAAAGACGTAGAACACGGTCTGTGGGGGGTGTGGCCACCTCGGGGCCCCTGGCGTGATCTCCTCCGTCCGTGGTTTTCTGTGGATTCTCTGTCCAGTCTGTCTCTTCGTTGCCGCCTCCGGAGTCCACCACAGAGGGGCGGAGTGAATGCCGGCGGCCGAGCGGCCTCCGGGACAGGTCCTGGCGCCCTGCTGGACTCAGGGTGGGTGGAGACTGTGCCTGTGGACGCCCGGGGTGGCCGGGAGGGCCGAGGGCGAGGAGGCGCATCCCCCCGCCCAGCCCCTGTGTACACTGTAGTCGTTCTATTGTACAGAAAAAAAATATTTCTATATTTGCAATGTTTGCTGTAAAATGAGAAAGATAAAATGACTATGTCTACTTAAAAAAAAAATCTGCAAAGGAAAAAAACGCTTGTTTGTCCTGGGTTTTTACTGTGGGTTTCAGGGGAAGAGTTGAGGTTTCTTTCATGTCCCGTTTAGGGGGTGGTTTTGTTGATTTTGGTCTTGGGGAGGGGGCACACTGTGGTCTCAGTGAGAGTGTGGTGGGACCAGGGGGTGTGAGTGGAAGCCCTTGGGGAGGTGGGCAGCTCACACTGGACTAGAGCATGTCTGAGAGCCGGTGTGGACAGGACAGGCAGGAGCTGAGCTCACGTCGTGTGTGGGGCTGGGACACCCAGAGGCTCTTGAGTGAGGTTCCGGGTGAGCAGATGGTGTGTTTGCATGTGAGTGAGTGTGAGTGTGGGGTGGTTGGAGGGTGCATCTGTCTGAGGGTGGGTTCCCCTGCTGTGACCAGAGCCCTACGTGTAGGAAGTGCCCAGAGATCCCTGGTTCTGCAGGGGTCTCTCGGGATGCTGAGCCAGGAGCTAGACCCTGCACTGCAGCCCCCTCCACATGCATCTCATCCACCACCCCTTCTCCAGGCAGCCCGCCCTGGTGTGCGCCCCCGTTCTGAGTGAATGAGAGGCTGGAGTCCACGTGGGACCACCACCAGCTTGTTCAGCATCCCTGAGGGAGGATGGAGCGAGTCCCTGGCTTCCTGCTGCGGAGAGCAGGAGGTGCCCCTCATCCCACCTACAGGAGTCGGAGTGAAACGCTGAGGAAGACACTCCACTCCCAGGCCCTCGAATCCACCTGCCAGCTGAGCAGGGGTCTGTGCCCACCCCAGGGAAACGGTCCCCAGCCCTACATCCCAGAATTGCCTTTCTGATCAGGGAGAGGGCCTGCAGGGAAAGGAAACGCCTCGCCCTGGCACCCTCCCTCCCACTCGGCACCCCTGGGGTGGGACACCTGCCTGATGCCGGCACTGCCTGTCACCCCTCCCTGCCTACCTAGACACCCCCTCCCCTCTCTAAAGTCCCAGCTGCTGAGCCCCCAACCCGTTCCTCCATCAAGGGTAGACCCACCCCTAACCTGAACTCTGGCACAGACCCAGGGAGGCAGGAGGCTGCGGCTGGAGCCAAGTCCCAGAGGCAAGAGGAACCCAGGAGACTCCAGGACAGGGACCGGAGGGATGGAAGCCGGGCTCCAGGCTCTGACAGGTCCCCAAGAAAGGACCCAGGCTCAGCCTGACCCAGTGGGGGACAAAGAGGGAGGGAGGAAGGGCCAGTGGGGGGTGGGAGCAGAGGCAGCCTCTGCTTGCATGCCCTTGGTGACGGGAAGCTCACCCCTCTCCTCTGTAGTTGTCTCCAGCTTTTGGGACCTTCCTTAGATGGAGGAGAAGCCTGGGGCCACAGAACTGAGGGCTCATCTGTCCCCTCCAGGTTAGTCAGCCCTGTCCTGCCGCCTGCACCCAGGTCAAGGGTTCTGGGAGTGTGAGGCCTGCTCTGGGGGTGTATGCCCTGGTGGGTTCCATGGGTGCCCTGTGACTCATCCCTCCAAAGGGGGCCATTGCCCAGGATGCTGCGCCACCTGCTCTTCCCTGTTTAACCCAAGGTTTCTGGCCAGGCCGGGACTCCCAGCCCTGGGCAGCTCCCTGTCCTTTGTGAGGGGTCCCTGGAGGGCATGAGAGACCACTGGAGACCACAAGGCCAGGCCCAGGGGAGTGGGACGGGGACCAGGATCGGGATCCAGGGCTGGCGGCTGGAGGCCTAGGGAGGGCCCCAATCTGCCCAAGGTCACACGGCAACTCAATGACAGTCTGGTCATGGGACAGAAAGGTGGCCAGGCCTTCTCAGCCCGCCGCTCCCTTTCACTGAGGAGCGAAAATGGGCTATTTATAGGGAGTGCGGGAGAAGGGCAGACACAGAAGAGAGGCGCCTGCCTTGGGGACACCGGCAGCTGGCCAGGAAGGGCGGGTGTGCAGGAGGGCAGGTGCCTGTGGAGAGTCCAGAGCCCAAAGAAGAGCAAGGAGAAACAGCAGGCGGGGAGGTGCTGGATTCTCAGCAGCCAGGACGCCCAGCCTGGTAGCTCAGGCCTCCCGGGAGCTGCAGGGCTTGGCCCCAGTGTCTGAGAACGCCCGGCCAACTAGTCCTGGGACAAAGAACCCTGAGTTCCTGTGCCCTTGCTCGAAGGTATCATGGTGGAGGTGACAGCACGTAAGCAGAAGACACACCTATGAAGCGCCTACTGTGTGCAGGACTCTGCTTCAAGCTCTGTGTGGGCATAGGGAGGAGCCCAGCCAAGCCCAGCCCCAGCCACCAGGGAGCTCCAAGCTGACAGCGCACTCGGTGTGGAGGGGTCACCTGGCTCAGGGCAGCAGGGGAAACTCTGCAGGCCCAGGAATAATGGGAACTCCCGACTGGGAAGAGCCAGGAAGGTTTCCTGGAAGGGGTGGTATTCGGTTAGGGCGAGGATGGAGGTAGAGGCTGGGAAGTTGAGGGGGTCGGTGCCCTGTGGGCTAAGAGCTGGGCTCAGGAGCAACCTCCCAAAGCCAGCCTTGCCCTGCAGCTGGGATGGGTGCCCAGTTTCCAAGGGACGGCCCTGGAGGGCAGCTCTTTCTCATCTGCGAGACAGGTGCTTTGGAAGCCACAGCGAAGGCTCAGGCCCAGGCCATGCCCCTACAACTGTGTGACCACAGCAAGCCACTGACCCTCCGCACCTCAGTCTCCTCATTTGTCCAGTGGGGTGACCGCCGCCGTCTGCCCCTCCCACACTGCACTGGTCATGCATTGCCGTGATAATGCTGCCTAACTCCCAATGGCCCACTCGGCGGGCAGCTGGCAAGGGGGCATACTCTCGTGTCGAGGGATGCAGGGAGGGCTGGGTTCTTCCCCACAGTCTCCCACCCTCCAGTGGGCTCTGGTCCCGGTGGCGATGGCTGAGGGAGCAAACCCCACAGTCACATCTGCTGGTGTCCCACGGGTAAGGGTGAGCCACAGGGCCGAGCTTACAGGAAAAGGGTGGACAGGGCACCCTGGCCCAGGGGCCCATGGCCAAGGCCACAGACATGGAGGGCAAAGACGTGGGGTCCTCTGGGCACCAAGGCTGAAGGCATGGCGGAGTCCCGGGGTCCCTCCACGGGGCAGGGGGCAGAGCAAGAAGAACAGGGAGCCCAAGGCCCAGTCTCCGCCACCCGCGCCTTCGCTCAGCAGAAATGCAGAGAGCCTCTGGGTACCAGACATGCCGCCCCTCCCCGCCAAAAATATGTCAGTCATGGTTCCAACACGAAAGAGCGGACACCTCAAAGTAGAATCCTTCAAGGGGCTGCCTATGAAGGGGCCATTTGCAGAGAGACCAAGCTGATGGCACACCTTGGCCCCCCCGGGAGAGGGGGAGGAGAGCCCCAGAACCCGGAGGGAAAGAGAGAGAGAGAGGTGCAGAGAGGCGCCCCGGGCCCTGGAGAGGGACCTCAGGGGAGGTTCAGTGGGCCCGGGCAGCCTCTCGGGAGGGCTGGGGACACACGCCTACCCCACTCTTAGGATCTCCCTCTCACCTCCCACTGGGCTCCCTGCTGACTGCATAGCAGGTCACCAGGGCCTGAGATGGGGCCTATTGCACTCAGTTCACAGACAGCAGGGGCAAGAAGGTTCAGAGCCGGCCTGGAGTGGGTGATGGGGGAGGCTGGCCTGGGGACAGCCACAGAGGAGGGGGCTGTCATCTCCATTGGGGACAGGGAGGCTTTTAGAGGAGGTGATTGCTCAAGACCCTGAAGGTGATCGGGCACTGTGGCTCATGCCTGTAATCTCAACACTTTGGGAGGCCGAGGGTGGGAGTTTGAGACCAGCCTGGCCAACATGGTGAAACCCCGTCTCTACTAAAAACACAAAAATTGACTGGCATGGTGGCGTGTGCCTGTAAATCCAGGAGGCAGAGGTTGCAGTGAGCCAAGATTGTGCCATCATTACACTCCAGCCTGGCAACAGAGACTCTCGTCTCAAAAAGAGAGGCAAAAAAAAAAAAAAAAAAAAAAAAAAAAAAAAAAAAAAAAAAAAAAAAGGCAAAAACAAAAAACAGGCAAAGAAAAAGATTCTGAAGGACAAACAGGAGTTGGTGTGGCAGAGACGGTTTCGGGGACAGGGAGCAGACTCTACCCAGAGAGGATGGCAGGAACTGGGGTGTGGAGATCACAGACCCCTGGACCCACCCCGAGGGGCCACCACAGGGCAGTGAGGGGCCTGGCCTCCTGAGACCAGAGATGGGGTGCAGCCAGGCTCTTCAGTCTGCTTTGCAATCATGAAAAAATGAGAGCCGGGTTCTGGGCAGAGGGAGCCATTAACAGTTTTCATTTTATTGAGACAGGGTCTTGCTCTGTCGCCCAGGCTGGAGTGCGGTGGTGCGCTCATGACTCACCCAGCCTGAAATTCCTGACCTCAGGTGATCCTCCTGCCTCAGCCTCTCAAGTAGCTGGGAACACAGGTGTGCACCACCACACCTGGCTAATGTTTTTTTTTTCTTTTCTGTAGAGCCTTGTTTTGTTATGTTGCCCAG